GCGGCGGCACCTGCGGGGCGGCCGCGGGGCGGCCACCGGCGAGCGGCGGCCGAGGGCGCGGAGCGGCGAGCGGATACTCCGCGCAGCCCGCCCGGCGTGCCCGCGGGCATGGAGCAGGACAAGTACCTGCCCCAGCTGATGGCCGAGAAGGACAGCCTGGATCCCTGCTTTGTTCATGCCATGCGCCTCCTGGAAGACGGTGAGGCTCCGCGCCGCGCTCCCCCAGCCGGGACGCTCCTCTGGCTCCGGGCGCCGCGGGGCGAACTGGGCTCTGCGGGCGGGCGGCGGCGGCGCAGCCCGAGCCGCCCGCGGAGGGACCCGGCCGCGCGTGGGCGAGGGGCAGCGGAGGACGGGGAGCTCGGAGCCGCCCCGGACCCCGCGCCCAGGGACCGTCCGGCGGAGCTCCGGCGGCGGCGGCGGCCCCGTCTGACCCGCTCCCCTCCCGCCCCGCCGCCGGGGCTCGCTCGCCGTGCGGCGGGTCTGCCGCGGCCGGTTCGCCTGTGCGGGAAGCGCTCCCCCGGCGCCCGGGTTCGCTTGCACAAAGACAGATGCTGGCGTCTCATTAAACTCGTTATGTCCTGTTTTCCGTGCTGAAGTAATAAGGTTTATATGGTAATACTGTTATGCTGTTAATGCATCGCTGTTTTAGTTGACTGCGCGATGTCAGGCGTTGATTGGATGTGGCTTATCAATTTCACGATACTGTTTCATCCAGGGCGTGATGATTTTTCTCTGGGTTCCGTATGGTGATCAGAATATGCTGGTCGTAATATTTTGTTATTCAGTGTAATTCGCTCAGCTTTCCTTGCTTTAGTTGGCCTAATTCAGCTGGAGGTTCTTCAAAAAGTTTATCATTTAGTCTTTTAATAACTACTCAGTACAGTGATTGAGTGCAGGCCTTGTGGTACAGAATTTCAACTTTTGCAGAAGTGTAATTCAGTAAGTTCCCTTTATGCATGTTTTTCTTCTGAGCTTCATAATAGTTATTTTTAAAATCCCTGTTAAACTTGTAACCGAATGTTGAAAAGAAGTAGTGAAGAATGATGCATAAAGCAACCTATCAAGCTCTTAAATGAGACTAAGGCAAAGAAATGTGTGGTCGGGCTCTTAAAAGAGTCACACATTGAAACAAACTCACATTCAGAGGCAGTAAATAATTTCCCAAGTTCTGTTATGATTTAAGGAAAATCATAACTGATTCAAACTTACTGTGCTAGCAGTAAGTGTCTTTCTCTGTCAGCAGTTTTTATATTGTCTTTCCTTAATGTATGTTCTATTGATTCTGAATGAAGATACTGAGTCCAGGTTTTGTTAGAGTGCCCCTGTTTGATAGCTTGGAAATTCAGTGTGAATACTGATACATTTTAGTACCCTTTCGTCATAGCTGCCTTGCTGCTGAAGAGGCAGCCATGCTGCTTTTTACAGTTGTTTTTCTAATAATAATACGGTAAACAAAGTCCTTATTTCTTAGAGGAATGTATTTTTTGCACCTTGCAGTTCGATCTTTTCCCAGAGGGGGGAAGTATCCACTGAGAGTGTGCATGTGTGCCTGGGAAAGGAGGAAAATGCAGGAAGGACAAAACCGAAAGCATGACAAGTAAAGTACAAAAAGGAGAATAAAATAGCTGTTTTAGGTGTCAAGTTCATGCGGAAATTGTATTTTGGGCAAATGTGCGATTGAATAAATTAACAGTTTTCTCATTCCTTCTTACCATAACTAGGACTATGTATATTTAATTGGATTTTTTTAAAAGATGAAGGTGAGTTGCCTGAGAGAATGCTAATGTCAGATTCACGCCAGGTACCTGGCATTATCCTTCAAAACACCATCTGTCAAGCTTTCTAGAGATTTATTTTAGAGTCTAACATACGATGACTGTTTGAACACTCAGCAAGGTAAGAGTGTAACTACTTAAGGAAACAAGACTTAATGCACTGGTTGCTGCTGGGTGTAAATAGAAGAGAAGTGTGTAGAATAGGCAGAATTTTTATTTGGGTGCCAGAAGAACGTGGGATCGTGGTGCAAGGATGTCTGTAATAGTGGATATCTAGGTTATATCCATGATGAAACAATGTTTCCACACTCTGGATTTCTGTTATTTAGAATGTGATGTGTGCGATCAGCTACATCCACAACAATAGCAGCCAGGTGTTATTTTTATGGTGTCCTAAGCTTTTTTGATTGCCAGTACATTTTGTATAAAATGCGTAAGTGTAGATATGAAGATTTTTGCTTCAGAGTCCAGAGCCTCAAGCTTTCACTCTGAAAGTGCTGTGTTGTTTTATGTCGGTTGCTAGAACCTGAGGTTGAGGAGAGACATGCTGCTGTGTGAAACTGCAGAAGGACACACAAATGATAAGCATTCCAGAAAAATGGTTTTGATTTGCCACAGTGGATTTACTTGTAAAGGTAAAAAACTCCCTCCCCGCCTTTTTTCCCCAATAATTTTTTTGTTTGTTTGATTTTGGTTTTTTGATTTGGGCTTTTTTGTTTGTGCTTACTTAACCTATATTAAAACCCAGAAATTACTTATGATTTTAATATGTAGGTGTGTGTCCTGCAGGTTGATGTATGTCAGAGGAATACTTGAATCAGTAGCTATTTACCCCTCACCACTGAGGGATGAATAGAAGTCATCCTTAAGGACTGATTTATTTTAGTCCTTACCTGGGTGTGGTAAAACCCACCGAAAAGGGACATTTACTGTGGTACAGAATTTGCATACTTAGCAAACAACACAAAGAAAGGTGGGGAAAAAGGTACTACTGCTGCTTAAATACAAAAAACGAAGGCATAAAACAATTTCTTGAAAAATCACTGAGGGAATCTGTGGTGGAATCTGACTGTGAACCCTGTCTCCAAATGACTAATCGAGTGCCTTAATCAGAAGATATTTTATTTCCCCCGGGTCATTATCTGTTTCATATAGAAGTAGATCCTACATGATTATTGCACTATTGGAAAAGTCGGTTAAAGTCATCTATTAGAAGAACTTGTGAATTGTGAGTGGTTGGTGATATTTGCCTCAGTCTATATAAGTTTTTTCAAACTTTAGCAAAATGAACATGCTTATTCTGATAATATAGTCCAGTCAGTAAGGACAACAAAAGACCTCTTTAGTTGAACTCTAAATAATAGACAAGTCTCCATTTGTTGGAAAGGGCTTTTCTCTATCAAGTGAACTATTTTGGATACCAAAGGGTTATAAGACGTGGAAAAGTCCCAATGTCTCATTGAAAGTTTTAAATTATTTTATTGTAAATTGATTACCAGTAGTTATTTTCTTAGGTAAGATTGTACTGTTTCTAGTCAGGAGTTATCCTGATGCTTGGTCAGGATAATATCAGTTATCCTGATGCTTGGTCTTCTAATAGAAAATATTAGAAGTGAAGAGCGTGTTCTTGAGCAGTGCCTTTTGTACCCAACTTGTGCTTATACCGCGGCACACTCTAGAGCTCCAGGGAGAACTGCAGGTGCCTCTGTTCTGGTGCTGCTCCCTGCTTCTGTCTGTTACTTTCTCACGTATGTAAATATTTATTGTTTTGTGTAAGATGTCTGTGATTATGAATATAAAAATAAGTATGTGACTGTAGCTGTGAAGGTGTGGATGACATAGAAAGCTGCAATGAACTGGAACTGTTCGGTAGTTCAAAATTTGGTTTATATCAGCATTATATTTAATAAGCTGAAGTGCCAGGTAATTGTCTATATACTTTTGTTTACAAGCAAATTATATATGTATGTGTTTATTTATATTTGTGTGGCTTTGGAATATCTTGTATTATTAAAACCAACTAAGTGTTTTTAATATAAACGTAAAGGAAAAAGACCTGTTGGAAAGAGCTGACCAAAGTAAGAGCATCTCTCCCCATGGAAATATGAGCATTACTTGGGTAATGAGGTAGCTAATTTCTCTCTATAATGATAGTACAATTGACCTCAGAATTTCAACTGGCATTCTGAAGGCATTGAGAATTGGGCCTTTAATTTTAATCTTGAGTTAAGTCTAGATTATTCCACATGGCATAGAATGAGTTTGTTAAACCTCCAAGTTGTGTAAATTAGACTCATATAGCTCAGCATCATAAAGCTCCTTGTAGGACGGGACATAATTATTCAAAAGATTAGCCTTTGCACTCAGTGAGCGTTAGTACAGGCTTTCATGCAAACCTGCAATAGTTGTTCCAACTAGTATAAAACTGTTGATGCAAATTAATTTTGTCTTATATTCAGGATTTCAACTAATATATTGGCTTTGTGTGGGTTTTGGATTTCTTTAGACTATTGGAGACTCATTTGCTTTTCATATAGGAAGGCAGATTTAGTTCATGCGTGTGTTTCTGTTAAAAACTTGGGATAATAATAAGGTTGCTGTATGAAAATTATTTGTCTTGGAAATATAGTATATGGTAATCATATCCTTACCCCTAAATGTGAAAGGCTGTTGTTCAAGCCTATGACCTGCTAAAATCAGACCTCTGATACTTTTTAATTTTTATCAAATTTTTCATTGAAAACTACTTGTGAAGATATACTTACAAATTTATTAATTTACTTGTCTAAACAAGCCTTTGGATTAAAATAAGATTAATGTGAAATGTTTATGTAAGTACAGACATTAATATTAATCTATGAACGGTCCCTTTTCTGCTTATTGTTTCTTTTTTCCCTGATGTTTACATCAGGTGAGACGAAATCTGTGTTCATAAAATAGTTGCTATTAATCATAGTTTGCTTTGCTGTCTCAAGAAATGCAGTGTAAATAACTGGTAGATTGACTCAGAAAACACTATAATATTCAGAGTGTGTATTTTGGATATCTTAATTTCATTAGAAACTAGATTTATATATTGATCAGTTGGAGCCTTTTCAATAAAAAGTGCAAACTCTAGATGAATACAAGGTACTTATGATTTCTATAAAGTAGTGATGTGCTAGCAGTTCCAGACTTGGTTCAAAGCTCAGTACAGTTAATGGGAATCTTTCTGTTGCCATTAGTGGGCTATCAGGCAGTCATTGTAATACAAATACGATATATTGACTGATATAGCCAATAGACTTGTAATCATGAAAACTGATAGAATATACTGCAGGTGTTAGAACTGACTGCATTTTGCTTTTTATATTTTTTTTAAAGATGATTTTTTTTTGTCATGATATGACAACATATTATGTGTTCGTAGCTCGAGGAAGTGCTT